TGTAGCAGTGGCATTAACTCCAATGACGCAGAATTTACCGAAGAAGCTGTCCAATTCTTTTAAATGTCACACAATGCTCTCACTATGTCCCCAGTTGGTATGGTAACAACTTTTAGCAGAAAGTTCATCTGAAAACTGGTGCTAGTGGTCTTGCGATTGCTACTGTGCTAAACCTAATATCTGACTGTGAGGCACAAGCAGTGGAATTTCTTAGCCGCAAACTCCTTTCACGAGAGCATAAATATGTAGCTGTCGAAAATAAATGTCTTACAGTCGTTTTGCAACAGGCTCAATCAGGTAATTTTTGTCAGGGACAACATACAAAGTCACGAGTCCTCTATCCATTGACTTGATCGAACTAAATGCAAAGCAAGAATCCGCGTATCTTTATATGGTGCTTGGCACTACTCCAAACTTCACTCCAAAGTACAGGAGCGGCAAGCTAAATATGAATGCGGTGGACTGTATCGTGTGCAACGGAAATTTGCTTCCTATGAATATAATATATAATATTGTGCTTAGAATGTTTCAAAAAGACTTTGAGATCTCCTGAGAAAGATCGTGGATGTTCGAACTTTATTGTGTTCTTTTGTGGGAAATCATAATAGACTTGATGTGGATTTAGACTGTAATTCACTTGTTGCGTTTGCAATATTCTGTATGGTTAAGGAAGAAATGCAGGACTCATTTACCCAATTTAAAATTGGTGACTTTATGCTTTACGCATTTAACTAGTAAAATTAGCTTTGTGCAGCTTTACTAATCTACCAGATCAACAAAATGTTTTCAACATTTTGTCGAAAGCAAAGGGCTTTGTTACATAATGGAGATGATATGAACATAACTTCACTTCCAACGCATATGCTTCCTTGATCTTGCATACCAGAGACTAACAGCAGGCACAGTTCTGTTATTTTTCGGGCTAAGCAGCAATTACTAATGGACGTATGAGGCTCTTCTCAAAACATGCCCCTTCTGCAGAACACAGTCTTCAGTAGGACCTTACGTCAGAGACGTAATAAAATCAAATTAGGACAACGTGTCCATCTACTATCGCAACTGTCTTGGGCGTATATATGGTTGTTCTATTACATGGTCTCTGCACAGATTTTCCAGCTGGCCAGGAGAAAGTTAACCTATTGCGCAGTACAATACAATATGAATCTGTGATCTTAGAATGTGGTTCTAATGCTCCTTGATGTGAACATATTCCTTTTTGCTAGCACGCATATTTCACCCAGGGTATTCTTCGACATCATAAGACTATAATTTAGAATTTGGATGTAAACATTGTCCACTGCCCCTTTGCTTTGTGATTCCTTTTGCGTGACATATTTGTTTACCTTTATTTGCCATGTTTTTAACAATGACATGTCCATCTTTGCACCTTGGTCAATATTTGCTGTTGGCTACTGGGGCCACTGCTGTGGGCTACTGGGGTCAATTGCGCCCATTTCCTTCTTGTTTTTCCTTCTTCTCTTTGCTAATTACGACAGAGCTTAGTTTCCTGCATATATTTTGGAGGTGCTTACAGCCTTGTACAGGGTTGTGTTCTGGCACAAGCACTGTTCATTTTTTTTTTCTATTCCATGCTGACTAATGCTTTTAGACACAGAGATGTTGAAGTCGGCATTAGGTACCGTACAGATGAAAAACTGTTCAACCCCAGAAGGCTAAAAGCAAAAAACAAATTTATGACAGACAGCATCAGGGAGTACTTATTTGCCGCTGATTGCACCTTCAATACTAAGGAGACTGAAGTACTGTATCAGCCAGCAACGGGAAAGCCCTATGCTGAGCCCAGCATCACCGTCAACAGCCAATAGCTCAACGTAGTGAACCATTTTACCTACCTTGGCAGAACACTTTCACAGAGTGTCACCATCGATGAAGAGGTGAACCTTCACATTGCCAGAGCCAGCTCATCGTTTGTCAAGTTGTATGAGAATGTATGGAATAGAAGAGGCATCGGCATCACGACAAAACTAAAGGTCTACATGTCAGTTGTACTCATCACATTAATCTACGCATGCAAAACATGGACGGTGCCTCAGGAAAATAATCAACATCAAATGGCGGGACAAAGTTTCAGACACCTAGGTACTCGCCAAAGCAGGTCTTGCCAGCATTCACACCATCCTGATTCATTCCCAGATACGCTGGGTAGGACATGTTGTATGCATGCCAGACCACCCGCTGCCTAAAACACTTTTTTTTTATGGCGAATTCTAGCAAGGAGAGCGAACCCACGGAGGTCAGAATAAACGCTTCAAAGCCAATTTGATAGCTGCATTGAACGCGTTCAACATAAACTCAGACTCATGGGAGCAAACTGCTAGCGATCGAGACACTTGGCGTTCCTATCTGCACAAAGGCGCCAAGCTGTGCGAATCTAGCAGGATAGCATCCCCAGAAATTAAGAGGCAAGTCAGAAAAGCACGTACCAGCAACCCTCCTGGAGATGTCCCACTTATCCCGTATCCCTTTTGCAACCGAAACTTCTGTGCAAGTATTGGCTTTATCAGCCACCTGCGCACACACATAACAGAACCAGGCCGTCCAATTCACGGATGACTAGCGTGGTCTTCGTCGAATGACGGAAGAACAACAGATACAGCCTCAAATTAATTTTCATAATCATTATATTGCATTGGTCAGTTTTTTATTTCTTTAAGTTTACAATATAGCATTTGTCAAAATGGTTATCTAATGCTGTAAATACACACGTTGATGTTCTAACTAGCATTACCGTTCGATGCCAAGCCATACACGCATAAATTTGACTTGGTATTGCTGTTTTAAATGAGAGAGAGAGAGAGAGAGAGAGAGAGAGAGAGAGAGAGAGAGAGAGAGAGAGAGAGAGAGAGAGATTTACTTTTTATTTTCTGATCATATGCGTAATATCATTATAAAACTCACCTTGACTTTCAACCCTTTCCTTTTCATTGCGTTTTTCTTCAAGCTTTTATAGTACTGGTTAGAATACACCGCATACATATCATTTATTGTTGCATGAACTATGAGAAAAATGGTTATGTCATATGGATGATCCACACAGATGTAAATATGCATCATTCAGAATCGTACACTGTGCCATGCCTGAGTAGTTTTCACTGTTATTGTTGCAGTGGACATAATATCCAACTCCACTAATTAGACGAATGCTTCTGTCTATCCTCTATCTAAAATCTTTCATATTATAAGCTTCATTTTTATGACATGATACTGTCCTTAAAGACATTTAGAATATTTTTTGAAATTTAAAGTCCATATTTTCATTTTCTAAAATACACAAGTAACATTAACTAGTCGACTGCAACAATTTACATAAAAGTTAAATCTACTAGCGTGTATGTCATCATAAAAAAATCATTTAATAATTCCAAAGATAAAAATGACATAATTTCAGATAGTAGTTTAAATATAGATGCCGAGGAAACAAATATCCGAGACGAGAGGTATAATCTAAAACTACTTTCAGAAAATGATTTTTATTTTGATGAAGATTAGATGAATGCAATAAAAATAGCACATATAAAGAAAACAGACATAAATGTAGTAAAGATGTGCATGTACTGGAAATTATAGTATATATGTGTGTTTATAATTATGATATGTAATGAAAGTTGACGCATCAGGAACTTAATTAAAACAGACAAGCCTAGGTCAGTAAAAAATATTCACCGAATATACACTTATTAGGTTTTGGAACTTAAATCAACAAAGTGTCATTAGCTACCAAACTGAAACACTAGGTTTAAACCAGAACTATAAACAATTATTTTTACATCTATTTAAATATTTAAAGCAAGATTAGACAAGTTTAAATTATAAAATTAAAATATGCTAAAAATAAATCTTGATCTGTGCCGGTGTGGGTTTTATTTCTAAAGCTCTCTGACTCTGCTGATATATATATATATATATATATATATATATATATATATATATATATATATATATATATATATATATATATATATATATATATATATATATATATATATATATATATATATATATATATATATATATATATATATATATATATATATATATATGTATATATGTATATATATATATATATATATATATATATATATATATATATATATATATGTATATATATATATATATATATTTAAAAGTACACAATACTTGATTGCCCATACACTTGGAGTCTCCTATGTGCTTTTACCTAAACGAATGACAAGGAGTTGGGTTTTTTGGTTTGTTTTGATTTGTTTTGTTTTTGTTTTAAATGGAAACTATCACTTTAGTGGAACGAAAACTTCTCGTTGAGAATCTTGAAAACTTCACGATTCAAGGTCTCCTATCTTCATATAAAAAGAATACTAAGACTGATTTTTCGTGCACATCGAAATATGATATGAAACTATGTAAGCATTTTATTTTTTGCAAGACAGGTCATAATAATACAAGTTTTGTAACGGCAGGCAATGGTTGAAGTAGTTGAAATTGCCATGATTAATAAGTATTACACTTCTAGTGGTCCTTTGCCTGTTATTGTTCAGTTCTCTTTTAGTACTTCTTTTTGTAGAGATTTCTTTTGATAGATTTCATCGATTAGCCGATTAGAATTCATAGTCATTGTGACTGCAAAGAGTTTAATAGTGTGTCATGCGATATTGTCTTTATTGACTTTCCAGCTATTCTTTAGTCATTTCGTCATCAAAGGCAATAGCCTGGGACTTATCATAATTACCTTCTATTCCAGGATATAGTTCATAATAATTAGGTGGTGGTGTTTATAATTTGTAACGTAGCTTTAACAATTCTTCAGTCATATCGCTACGATGTCTGCAGTGTGGCAGTTTATAGTGATGTCTAGCACTGGGGTATCATGCCGCAGACATGTAGCATGATGTCCCACCCAGTCCCATTATCCTGACACCAGGCCGACCAGTCCTAACACTGACCTCTTAATGCTGAGCGTCAAGCGAGCCAGCTGTTAGAACCATTTTTGTAAGTCTTTGGTATGACTCGCCGGTGATCTAACCCACGACCTCCCGCATCCGAGGCGGACGCTCTAACCACTCGGCCACCGGAGCGGTTTCATAATAATTCGGTCATGACAGGCATCTTCTAGAAAATGTGATTTAAAGTATTGAAGATAATAGATCAAAGAATATTATATCTTAGGTAAAAATAATTTTAGAAATGAGCTCAGAAACTGATAGATTTGCCTTTTCATTTTAGCGGTAACTTGCTACAATTTAACTGCTAGGTCTGAAAGTCCATATTCTAAAAATGTCCTATAAGGACGATAGAAAGTCAAAGGCTTTGGACACAAAATAGCTTCAGCATATTTGTTTTTCGATAGTTTCCCTTGAGCTAAGTGAAACCTTTTCCTGAAAGCAGAGAGAAACGGTGTAATTGTCAAGGTATGCGGTAACCTGATTCCAGATCGCTCTTTCAATGGGCTTCAATAGGACATGGAGGCTACTCGCTGCACAATGGTCTTTTTGTTTTGTCTATTTTTCTTTCCTATAGGTATAGCCTGGGCTTCTTTTAGTCCTGAAAGGGAGATGTTTGATCATTTTGATTTTGGTTAAGCGCCCCGTTCATAATCGACTATGTGATAATATAGGCGTGACGAGACCAATCTCTATTGCTTGTTAATGCCTACAATATATATATATATATATATATATATATATATATATATATATATATATATATATATATATATATATATATATATATATATATCTTTTTATGGATTCTACAGTGACTTGGCAGAAATCTAATTTATTGGATATTGACTGTATTAATGTTTTCTTTGATAGGCAGGTAGTTAGAGCGTACACAATTCTACAAATGATTATTGACTATTAACTTAGCGACCTGTATAAATTTGATTGAAACCAACCATCATATTGCTTTTAATATTGCAGATTTAAAATATATTAACAAAAAAAACTAATTTTCACCTCGACGTAGTCTCATGATGATGCAATAGCATACCTAGGAGGGGTGGGGTCTAGGCATTTCCCTGGACGCCAGAGTTCTTCGGGGCGCCATAATAGCTGATAAATATTAAATTGCAGGAAAATCGTTGGCGGGGCCATCATTGTCAAACATGTGCGCAATTACTCCTTAGTATGTCACTGTAATAATGAGACAAGACTCTTTAATCTGTATATCACCGGAGCAAGGTGATAAGACTATTTCTTATGGCCTCTTTTCTGAGTTGGGTCACATAATGTCTGTTTTATTGTATGTTTTAGAAAGCTTATATTTCTATATTAATTCGAATTTCCTGTATACGGCCTTTCTTATGTCACACTTGATAAATGAAATCCATTTTTGTATGTAGCATTTCAGTGAAAACCGTTGGTAAGCACGTAATTGCTATAAGCAAATCTACTGCGAGTTGTCGTCTCCCTTTGATCTTAAAAAACGAACATATTGTGAAAGTCACTAATGTCAATAATATGATGTTCAAGCCTGTATTGATATTGCTTTTTTTAAACTAATATCAATATATTTGGGCTTGCCTTGATATTTAAAGAATATTGGTTCGGAAATTACATTTATCATGTTACAATAAGTCAATAAATTTAGAAGGGCTTAACCTATGCTTTTGTCAAAAAGGTACATATCTAGGTCTCCTAAAAGTAAGCAGTTATCATGCTGGTTAATTATTTTATCTAAGTTTGTTTTTCAAACTCTCATAAAAGTACTGATTTTAGCATATGGAGATATGATGTCATTAGCTCTAAGTCACTTGATTTACAGAAAAACATATTTTGTTTGCCCAAAATATCTCCACATAGAGATACCTTAATGTATTCAGATCATTTCAGTTATTTATGCGAATGGATTATTTGTAATATTGATCGAAATGGTAAGAACTAAAAAGTAGTTCGATTTTTCGTAATTTCTCGGTCAATCTTTGGTTTCCTGTATAGCCATTGTGGTCTGAGACAGAACCACCGAAATTAGATGTATGGTCAGTATGATTTACCTCGAAGTTGCGAATCATCATGAATCTTTTTGGCTTTTATCTATATGCAAAAGTTTAGAGACCCGTCAACCTCGAATAACTTCAGCGCAAGTGGATAAAAAAAAGGTTGTGCATTTAGAAGATGTTTCTTAGTCCCGGAATTAAGTGTTTTATATCTGTCACTTCTATAAATTAATGACGCTATAGTCGAATCGGTCATTTCTCCTAGTGGATCGCACTGCTTGCAACTTCGAATGATAAAATGCCGATTATCTTGATCCTAAAATCAACAAAGCAATAGTGAAATCGATGATGATGATGATGATGATGATGATGATGATGATGATGATGATGATGATGATGATGATTATGATGATAATGAGTATTGTTCTTTCGACATATAGACAAGGATTAACAATTCAGTTGCTACTGATAATGTGCATTTACGTTCTAGTCTATGTGATGTTATTTCAGCTATTGACAGTGCTAAAGCACTAGGTGTCCAACCACTGTTAACAGCCGCCGATATTGCATCTGAGAATACGGAACACCTAGGAATTATGGCCCAAGCAGCCCGCTTCATGTATTTCAAACCAATTGCACCAGCTTACACTATTGAATATAACTCGTCGAAGGTACGTACTAATGAGATTCCCTTCAACGGTCCTTATTTTGGAATTAGTGTCATGTTTATCTGTATATCGTTAGATATATATATATATATATATATATATATATATATATATATATATATATATATATATATATATATATATATATATATATTCAATGCGCCAGTTTTAAAGTTATTATGTAAGTGAGAAATGATGGTGCCATCCAGACTTGATACTGTTTGACTTTGTAAAATAATATATTTAAACGGTGGATAGGGATACATATATATATATATATATATATATATATATATATATATATATATATATATATATATATATATATATATATATATATATATATATATATATATATATATATAATTTCTTAGAACATAAAGTAAAAATGTAGTGTTATATATGGTTCCATATTCCACGTAAATTAACTTTAGTTTGTATGAATGTGTGATCGACAACCATCCGAAAATAAATTTAAACAAAACATGTTGCAATGGAAAATATTGGAAGGTCTGTCGCCAGTCTTTTTTTTTTTCATGTTGATATATCGATAAAACATTTTCCATTCAGCAAATATACACGACAAACGAGTTGGTGAGCAGCTCCACGTTGACGTCACAGAGTTCCCATCAGAGTATAGATGTTTCTAAGCAAGTGAATAATTCGCGGCAAATGACATACAATCTAGTACGAACCCCATCTATCCGCCGTGCAAAGAAAGTTCAACACCATGAAGAACCTGACATCACTCAACTTGATGAAATAAAAAAGGATACGTATTCCGTTGGTGTTATTATGTACACCACAGTAAGTTCACATTTTTTCTTAGCTCTGCTCAAACAAGTCTCATGTTTGTCCTACTGTTTGTCAGTCTATTGCTCAAATACAGCGACGAGATGCATTATGGATCACTTTTTATACATTCCCTGAGTATATTGAAAATATTATAACAATCAATTTTGATGGTTCTCTGCAATAATCGATCTTACAGTGATAATAAATATGGCAGCCAGAGAGATATGCAAATAAATGTAAAAATTTATGAAAATTACGATATTCATTTAAGAACCAAATCTGACTTATTTTACTTACCTACTCCCTACCTACCTACATAATTCTTTCCACATGAACCTATCTACACCCACCCACAAACACACACACATATATGTATGTATGTATGTGTGTGTGTGTGTGTGTGTGTGTGTGTGTGTGTGTGTGTGTGTGTGGAAGATACAGGTTCATTTTTCAGTTTCTTTATATTACAGTCGCACACCCTTGTGGACCCTGAGGAAGTGAGAGTTGAAGCGATCTCTCCGACGGGACGTCTCATTAAGATGAACGGGGACGGAGTTTATCATGCAAAATTTTCTCCCAGGGAAGTAGGTAAGAGTTTCGTAATTACCATAATATTTTGGTATCATTCTTAATGGTACATATACGGTGCAAAATGAGAACTCAGTAACAATATAGCAACACACTTCTTAAACAATGAGTTGAATTTTCTAAAGCATCTACTAGTGTGCGATTCAGGACCTATCTGTAAATTTAGAGAAGAACAATGATGATAGTTCGCAGTTCGTCTTCCATAATAAAAAATGATTTCTTCCATACTATTTCGAATTAAAGTCTTGTTTTAAGATAAAAATTAACAATTTAGCAATAACTATCAAAGAAATGATTTAACATTAAATAACGTGCATAGGTTTGGAGATAGCATATCTATTTTAATTTATTTCGGAAAGCATGTATGTAGAACTTTTAGTATGAAATTAATTTCCCCATTCTAAATTTTAATCGTGATTTCTGAGTTAAATATAATGAAGTTTTCGTTTATCGCATTTGTCAGGCATTTGGAAAGTAAGTATGTTCATCAACAACCAGCTGGTTGATTCCTGTCCAGTAGAGGTTAGCGACCCTTCACAAGTCAAGGTTTCGGAAATTAAAGGCGGGACCATAGTGCACCAACATCAGTTCCAAAGTAAGAATACTACCTATATTAACAATGTTTTTGTTGTCAATGGCACTCGATTTTCGGAAGTCTTGCTGCTTGAAACGTTCTGATAATGTTCACATATGTGAATTGAAACTGATGTCGTCTGATGTTATGGCATCGGTCATTTCAAATAGATTTTAAAAGTTTTAGTCTGGACGGACTGATCAAATCACTGGGTATAACCGCGCGACATTGTATTCCAAAAGTTATTGCGTTGTGGTGCAGTAGTCAATATTACAGCTGTATCGTATTCAATTGATTATACCTCAAAATCCATATCTTTTCTTATGAAAACGCACGATGACCAGTCTGTGCCGCATGCAAATTGCACTCAGATTTCAACATTATTCGCGGAACAGTTTGCTGTTGTGTTGGAGTGTGTTCAGCGTGAAACTATAACGTCAGTATTCTGTTAATCCGCGCAGGCATTTCTATCCAAAATAATTTTTGTACTTAATAAATAAAATGTTTC